AATCCCAAAATCTGAATTTTCACAACTTAAATAGTCTTATTTAATGATAAACAGACGAACAAAATGGAGATCTCAATATAAAAAAAGCGCAGACAGCTGTAACTCTCCCCATCCATTGCATGCCTTTACAAATCATATTGGTCTACTCGGTAACTTACATCGGGATCAAATTGCTTTTATCAAAATGAACGTAAAGCTAGTAAAAATGAACAGCTTCAGCCAATATTTATGCTGTTTATTTGCATAGACATGTGAAATACTTTTCAGATACGTTACAAAACCGTTTCATTTTACGCGCAAAACACTGTGTAAAATGAATTTATACAATTTTATGTTTCGCTGCGTAGAACATACGTTTCATGATCTGACGCGAACCAGTTAAATTACGGCGAACCAGTTTATAAAACGAACTGTTGAAACTGCAAACTACGAAGCCTCAATAGGCAGTTTTTCAAACAATTCAGCATCTTCCTGTTTTAAGCTGAAATTACGGATGAGCGGTATATGGTGTTAAAATAGGGATTTCATGGTTTAATCAATATCGATTTTACTGAAACGAAATTAACAGAACTGAATTACTTCACGTCCTCTCCCAGAGTTCCAAAGCACACAAGCGTATTTGAAGTTCTTCGTGTGGTAATTAGTCAGCCCGCGGGCTGACTAAAAAAATCTTTAAAAATCTTCTTCACAGGAAAAGCAAAGCAATGATAAGACTTAAATGCATATTTATATGGAAGCATCCTCAGGTATTGTAAATTAATGTTTCAAATCTTGACCCTGGGGCTAAGGATGGGGCTACAATATATGATCGAAGCTTTCCATGGGAATTATGGGAAAAATCGCTTAAAAATCCTCTCAAGAGCAGCATAGCCATAATTTGTCATATTTATTTGCAAGGTAGTGTTAATTCATGTTTGCTTACATGATGACCCCCGTGGGATAGGGTGGGGCAACAATGAAGGATCAAAGTTTGACATAGGAATATGTAGGGAAAAGTTTTTAAAATCTTTCCTCAGATAATATAGATTCAAGTTTATACAAATCATGACCCCGTGGGGTAGGATTGGGCCACAATATGTGATCTAAATTTTACAGAGGAATATATATGGGAAAATCTTCTGATGAAGAACAGGAAGCTTATAGTGACTGAGGTGAGCATTGTGGCCCATGGACCTCTTGACTTGTTTTAAAAAAAGCATATTAGCAATGAAAATGGTTTAAAAGAGAACTGGTGTAATTCAAAGTGCGATGTCCAATTATAATTCATTTTCAACTGCCTTCAAATTACTGGTAATTTGTAATACCTCTGCAAAAAACAATCGTCACATTTTTTTTTTCAGAGCACTAGCGAATTTTTTTTTAATCTGGTAGAACATGTACAATAAACTAAAATACATATGTGAATTAATCATTTTATCTAAAATATGCATACACATAACTTACTGAAGTCTACATTTTGCTTATTCGCTGCATAATTTTAATTTTTGATTTATTGATTAGAAAATCGTATTATATGCTTATAAATCTTTCCTACTGAAATGGACAGACACAGGTAACACTACATTGAAAGGCATGATCATAGAAAATTTCAGCCTTTCATAGCGTTATATAAATATAATTAAGACAGTATAAATATAAATCAGAAAATATATACAAGTATTACGTTCAATATTTAGATCTTAAATGAGTAAATAGAACGCAGTAATAACAAGAATGGTATGTATATATAGATTATTATTTATTGTGTAATATTAACATGGGGATCGTCGTTTATGTGAGTTAACACCAAATGCTTAAAAACGAGTGCCACTACATGTATTACCTCACCTGCTTAGCTATTGGAAAATAATTAAATGCACTTACAGATAGTTTTAAAATCTTTCTTACACCTACTGTGCCATTTGAATATATTACACTAAAGTCTTGCTGTATATCTGTAATCTAAAGTTTATACAATGTATAATGCTTGTTTTTTTTTTTTCTTTTGTTTGTTTGTTTTGGTTGTTTTTTTTTTTTTTTTTTTTTTTTTTTTTTTTTTTTTTTTGTTTTGTTTTTTGTTTGTTTGTTTGTTTGTTGTTGTTGTTTGTTTGTTTTTTTTTTTTTTGGTACGAGTAAGTATTTTTTCCATCCACCCAAATAGCAGTACAACTATTAAAATTGTTCTGAAATCTACCTGCATGAATATTTCAATATATTATTCCTTTTTGCTCCTTTTTTTTTGTGTGTTTGAGCGCTAAATGCATATTTTAATACAGGTTTCCTTTATGTACTATATCTTTCTGCCAAGTATTTGGAAAATTAATTTTTTTTAAAAATTGCATTCGAGTTTAAGGGGGCTGGATACAGTTTAATGGTCTTTTTTTCTTATTTTAATTCGAAAATAACGTCAGTATAAAAAGTTGAACTTCCCAAAAATTTTCAAAATTTAATGATCACGATATTCTTCATACCATACGTCAAACATCTGTGTTCGTAAACATGGGCACGAAGCCTCTTATTGTTAATGTTTACGTTTTATAGGATCTGTTTAATTTGTTAACTCTACACACATCAATGAACACGAACTGACAAAACTGGTATGTTGGTTTTGCTTTCTCACATTTCTGGATTATAGTTTTAAATTTTTTCATTAAATTGATACACAACAGACTTTTCGGGTTTTTTTAAAATAAAATTTACTTCGTGAAAGTGCAGGGGTATATGTCAATCAAAAGTCGTCCCAAAATTCGTAGTTTAAATCAGAAAAGAAGTTCCTTAACATAACACGCTTTTATAATGTTTCTGTCTGATACGCTCTAGCAACATGTAAGTACTGATATTATACCGACAATTTGAGAAAATATTATTTTAAATCTGTTTCCAAGTCTCTTTAAGGTGGTTCCCTAAAAATACTGCAAGTAATATTAGACTATAGTTTACTTTAGTAAAGTGGAGGTTACTATTGTTAACTATTATAGTAAGTCAATGTAATCACTGTAGTAAATGAAATTTTTCCAAAAATATCTATAATGTCAGAGTGAACACTTTAATGTTATACTGTAGAATTAAATTTAAGTGTCAAAAATATCATTAACATAGATGAAAGTTATTCAAAGTGTCAAAGTTATTCCTTTAGTAAATAAATATTTTCTGTGACTGAAATCTCGTGTACATGTTATATCGCAATCTAGGTATCCAATAATGCATACTTTTTAATATTAAATAAACATATCTGTTTATTTCATGCATTTACAACATGATACATGATAATTTCATACACGTTGTTTGGAATATCTTTCCTGTTAAATTTTATTTTTCGATACATTAATTTTTAACGATTGATATGGCAACATATTTCTAAATGACTAAATTAGGTTTGTCTCTCATTTTAAAATCTATCTATCTATCTTTCTATCTATCAATATCAATATATATATATATATATATATATATATATATATATATATATATATATATATATATATATATATATATATATATATATATATATATATATATATATATATATATATATATATATATATGTGTGTGTGTGTGTGGGCGGGGGGTGTGGGTGGGTGGTGTGTGGGTGGGTGGGTGAGGGTGTGTGTGTGTAATAAAATACATGGGAGACCCGCAAATGTTTTGTTTATTAATTGAGTAACAAGTAACACTGTTGCACTATTCAAATATCATTAAGAAAAAGGGATCAAAATAAGGTATATCTGAAGTTTATTAAATCGAGGAGTGAAAGATACTAGTATGGTTAATAAAAAAAAATTATTGTGACACACACACACCCACCCACACACACACACACACACACACACACACATATATATATATATATATATATATATATATATATATATATATATATATATATATATATATATATATATATATATATATATATATATATATATATATATATATATATATATATTGATAGAAAGAAAGATAGATAGATTTTAAAATGAGAGACAAACCTAATAGTGATCACAATATTAAGTCAATGTTTTCACTATAATAAATGAAAGTGTCAAACTAATCTAAATTACTTAACTATACTCCCCATAGTGTCAGAGTAGCTTCATTTTTACTATAATTCACTGTTAGGTAATATTAATGATGTTGTAAGAGATGACAAGTTTGCACTGTGATGAGTAATAAAGTCCAAAGATATACATTAAAAGTAGAGTATTCCAAGGAACGCATGTTTTGCCTGCTATAGCATCATTAAAGACATAAATAAATTAAAGTAAAGGGTGGTCATGCATATTCTTTTTTAAATATTATACTAGCTTAATAGTTAAAACAAAGAAAAACTAGAATGTTCCAAGGAACGCATGTTCCGCCTCCTTTAAAGCATTATTTAAGATGTAAATAACTCTAAGAGTGGTCAGTTTTTTCTGCTACTAGTATTATAGTTCATGCTTTTGCATGCAAAGAAAAAAAAATCCACGGATAGAAATGCTTCGATAGAATACAAAATGCAGAACTTGCAGAACTTACCGGTATCAGACTACCACTTTGGTGTAAAATTTCATTCTCGAGTATTAAATATTGGAATCACCTGAAAACTTCTGATTCTTTGGCTTTTAAACTTTACCAATCCACAAGTTACTGCAATTCTTGGACTAAGAAATTATTTTCTATTCTTGATAATCTGGGATTTTCAGACATTACAAAATGTAAAGGTTCAATTCAACACCTTTTACCAAACGTAAAACAAAGAATCATTGACCGTGCACTCAGGAGCAAAAATCAAAAATCTTTGGTTCAGAAAAACTTAAACTTTATTTAAAAAAAAATATACACAAGAAAAAGAAGCCCATATGTTGATTTACTCAAAAAAGATCTGAGAGGTCATCTCTTAGAAGAATTAGATTAAGTGCACATAAACTTGCAATAGAAAATGATTTTTGTGTCACCTACAGAACAGACCGACACTTAGGGATCACTTAACCAGGCGTCTGTCTTGTTAAAGTTAACAAAAACAATTTTTTTTTCTCTTGCAGAGCTTTAGCTATTGCCTTTGGTGTGATATTACCCCTCTTGTCACTGACAGTGATTATATTAAGATATGTATTGGTTAATCGAAAAATGAATAAAGGTAAGTAGGTAAACATCATGTGATTCATATCGAAATATTTTGTTGAAGAAACTTTCTTTGCAGGTACCTTCAAGCTACTAGTGAAATGTATGACATCAGACGTATTTCATTGTGCTTCCACTTATTTGCATAACATTCCTTCTCTCTGTATCGTTCTTCTCTCTCGTTTATAACATAAGATTTAAAACACTAAAAGGTCAACAGTTTAATGGAATCTATTTCATGCAATAATTGCTTGTTTTTGTTAACTTTAAATGATATAGACTGCAATGTTGCATATTTTTGACAATGAAATGGAGGAAAAAAATTATGGTCTATATGCGTGGAAAAATTACATACCCCAAGATCATCAATTATTGCTAATTCCGACGGTACTTGTACGTGTATGGTGAGAATCGTGCATGTATCATCGTGCATAAACAATATTTTTTTTAAAATTATTTATTTATTTTCAAATATCACCTGGAATATTGTGGAATATCGAGGAAAAGGTGAATTGTGCTAGTTGACCACACAGGAACCCTGCTTTTATTCTCCTCATGAGCACACATACCTTAACTTATAGTAAAAATAGGGTAAAAGAAGAAGCCAAACCGTATTTTACATGTAATTAAATAAATTTCGGTTATCCCATGCGATATGAGTTTTTGAGTTTTGCCAATTATCAGCATATTTAAGTTTAGAATACACTGATAAGCCCAACAGCATTTTTCAGTATTGAAATATAGGCGGAAATGTGTATCATATTTAAGTATTATCTACTTTGCGAAGATTAGATTGACTAATGCGCGATTATTTTCTTGTAGAGAACACTTACCAGCCTGTCAGGTAAATGAAAGCTTTTTTTAAAAAAAAAAATATCAAATCAAGCTAGACCTGTTGTTTATTGTTTTATAGTTATTAATTTAGTGTATACATGTACATGTAAATTATGACTTTTAACTATGTAAATATAGTAACCGATGCATGCCTAAATGTCTTTGCGCTCTTGATATTAAAAAGAAGATCGATCCTGTGAGAGGAGGAGATATTCATTACGCATTATTTCTTTGAAAATATTCTCTGCTTCTTGGCATATTGAAGGCAAACAGAATAAAGGTTTTAATAAGCAAGGATATTTTTACCAGATTTTTTAACATCAGGACCATTTGGTCAAGTGTTGTGGTTCTGGCCAGCGGTCTATTAATTTGTATACTACTGAGAAAAGTTATTCCCCTTTGCCATTCACTTTTGATAATTAATCACTGTAAATAATGTATTTGAAAGTCAATAGACTAAGAGAATTATGCAAAAAATGATATTGTATAATACAAAAAGTACACTCATAATTTTAATGATCAAGTAGACTCGTAAATAATAAACAAATCAAAATGAGACAAAAATAACGTATCTCATTAAATGTTCTTCAAAGACCAAGAGAGACCAATGTGAGAGGTCACAATATTGGATTAACAGTGGTACAGAAGAACTAATAGTTTGTTAATTGTCTGCATTGCGATAGTGATAAATGGGGGATAGATTAGAATTTAATTTATGAGTTGTTACTGAATACTAGACTAATTATTTTATTGATCCTGATCATCCTGTTTCTCTTGCTTTTGGGCAACAAAGCTTCATCTATCAGTTTATTTTATACTGTATGGATCTCCTAAATTGTTGTAAAATACTCAGGTGACCGGTAAGGCTCTTGTATATTGTTCAAATCATGGCATCTGGGGTGTAGGGTGAGACCACAATAGGGATCAATGTCTTACATTGAAATATATAGGAAAAAACCTTTTAAAATCTTCTTCTCAATAACCATCGGGCCAGAAAAGCTGAAACTTATGTGGAAGCATTCTAGGGTAGTGTAGACTCTTACTTGTTCAAATCATGGCCCCTGGAGGGTAGTATTGGGCCACAATAGGGAATCAAAGTTTTCATTTGAAATATATATGAATATCTTCTTCTTACTTGTTCAAATCATGTCCCTGGGGTGGTAGTGGGGGTGGGGAGTTATGAGGTCACAATTAATATTACAAGAGGGAAATTCCGGTGAAGAATAGCAGGGCCAAATTACTCAGGTGAGCGTTGTGACCATGGACCTCTTGTTGTTCGAAAAAATGGATTAGAATTCCCGCGATCATGATAAATACACCGAGTATATCAATGCAAGGAAGACTCAAGGTGGGTCAGATTCTCGAGAATACTAAAAAGAGATACTAAAAAATCCGAGAAATGCATTTTTAGCACACCTGAACGAAGTTCGGGGAGCTTATGTAATAGCGCCCCAGGTTAAAGTTTTTGGAGCAAATTTCATATATTTCTAGACCCTATATTAATCATAGATGCATGGAAGATTCTTCTAATATGTAAAGGTACATGTAACAGATGCTGCAACATCAGCTGAAAATGACTATGTTCATGGTTTGGAGCAGGTTAAAGTTCTAGGAGCAGGTTCAAGGTTTTGGAGCGGTCTCTTTTCCAAGTAACTTAACTATTGATCAAATCTGCATTGATAAACACTACCGGCTTGCTACGGATGTTGGATCTGAACAATATTCTCCGGGTAAGCGACCAGGATTAAGTTTTTGGAGCAGGTTCATTTAAAGTAACTATTTTCTCCTAGCTACCTGGACCAAACTTGTATGGATGATACATATAAGGATGCACACTACCAGAGTTGCTTCAGATGCGGGATTTGACCTACATTTTCTAGATGAATGACCAGGTTAAAATGTGTGGAGCAAATCTATTACCAAGAATATATAAGGCCTATCTAAACCAAATGCGAGGATGATGCCTCATGAGATGAACACTTTCAAACTTATTTCAGATTCTGTATTTGACTTTAATTTTCTGAATAAGTGTCTAGAGTCAAATTTAAAGAGAAGTCCTTTCCAAAGGAACTGCAAGCCACATCAGACAAAAAAATGCATAAATGCTGCATTTAGGGATGCAAACAAATAGATTATTAGTTTAGTGTGAAGCTTTTCCATGCTTAAAATCAGCATTCGCTGAGGTGTGCTCTGTAATCTCTAGTTACGTATTATTATTTTTTTGGGGGGGGGGGGGGGGTGCAGACTGCAAATGTGGTTTAATTTAACTTATGAATAATGGTTCCAAATGCATGTAACTGAGATTTTGGTCACATTTTGAATGTTTAATAGTGTTATATAAAAACAGAAAAAGTGATTAGTCAATAACATATAACCATCTCTAATATTTTCTCTGCGTTTTTTTTCTAGTAAAGTATGACTTCTTAAAAGACTTGTTTTATTTCAAATGTTTTATGCATCGCTCCAAACAAGATCTACAAGGACCATACATGTACAGTTGGAAATGGATACATGGAATAATTACATAAGATTATTGTACAAGCTATGAATTTTCTATGTATCATCTTAGCTGCAAAACTGTAGCTCTGAATATATATATATATATATATAGAGAGAGAGAGAGAGAGAGAGAGAGAGAGAGAGCGAAAGAGAGAGACAGGCAGACAGACAGATCGGAGAGCTACAGTGCCCACTATTCAATAAAGTGTATATTTATTGCGCAACAAAAAGTGCACCTTTTTCCGATATATCTCTCCGTGTTTTACAAACTCCTCAAACTATTACACGTACTAACCGTGAGTACCCAACATATTCCTTTATTATTTCCAAAACGAAACATTCATTACGTGTATAACCGTTGTCAATTGCCTTTTTGCATCAATTTGGTCCAAAACTCTTCTTGTAAATATCAGCTAAGAATATTTTGAGGTCTAATAATTTGTTGAAAGAGCTTTTCTGCAGCATAAGAAAGAATTCCAAAACCGAGTGCAACTTTTTGTGTGCAATAAATATACAGTTTTTTTTTTCTATGGATGGCACTGTAACTCTCTGGTCTTTCATCCCATTTTTATTTTTCAGACCAGCGAGCTACAGATCTGCAGCTAGAATTATCTATAAATTACTGGCTTTATCCAAAAGCATTTCGAATGTAACCTCGTAGGCAGAATTGCAGAAAAAAACTCATAACAGAAGTTACTTTTTTATTGTAGGATGAGTGTACAAGGAGAATCAGATGTCAAAGATCACTCGTCAAATGAATAGATTTTAAAGAGAAGCAGGAATTATTTTTATTGAGTGCTAAGGTTTAAAGACAGGATATTATCATTTATATTTTTATTCAAGGCAGATCGCTCCTTGGGTGTGTACAAAATGGAAGCTGAACTTAAAAGCAAACATGTACATGTATACAAGTTGTGTACCGCCATTTGATGACTTGGACAAACCTGCGAGCTACCTTAAGAAAAGGAGGAAAAATTATGATAAACTTTTTTTAAAATACCTAACCAAAGGAGGTTCCACAATATCTTTGAATTTTTCAATCAGCTTATATCAGAGAAATGTAAAACATTTTTGAACAGCAGTTATGAATGATTAAAAACATTGATTGCATTTTCAAACTTTTTGCAGAAATTAAAAGGAAAGTTGTAAGTGTTCAACGTCTTTTCATTTTTTTCGGAAACAAAACAAAGTAAAATGATTTGAATTTTTTTTTTTATTCTCTTGATTTACATTAAAATGATGGTGTTTTAAATAGTAAATAGACAGGCTAATTTCAAAAATTTGATAGGATCAAATTGAAAAAAAAAATCTCACACACAATAATAATAATACATTATCGATTCTACACCTTGATTTCGATCTGGGTTAACATATTCATTTCCTTGATTTCAGAATAATGGTGTTCATTTGAGTATGGTATGTTTTCAGTTTCTTCACTTGGCTGTCGTAAAATGTTTTGTCCTTTAGACTTTAGTGCTCGACAAATAACGTAAATAATGACAACAAGGATTAAGGAACTTGAAACAACTACTGCACTCAAAGAAATAATGTTATTCTTTAAATGTTTAACTCCTTTCGTGAATTCAGTTGTTGATCCTGGCCAATGATACACACTACGTGTTTCTCTGTTAGAATCTGTTCCATTAGCTATGTCAGCTTCAGTAAAATTAAAACAATATTCAATTATTTGACATTATATTTCATTAATGCTAGTAATTATTTGTATTTCTCATCACGTTTCTGCAATTGAAAGTGATTGCATCCCTTAAAGTGTTTGCTCTTATCGAAGTTTAATTGGTGTGATGAAACTCTTATTAATAAGTACGAATTACGTGTATCGTCAAACCAGATGAAAAAGGAAGTAACTGAGTTGCATTATGGTAACCAATATAGGAAGAGGTATACATATTTTGTTGAAACGTGAATATATTATACCTATATCTAGCCTCTCGCTTTCTCTCTCTCTCTTTCTCTTTCTCTCTCTCTCTCCGAATGCACCCATTGCAAGTAATTGCGATAGGTTGTTATTAAGAAAGAGGTAAAGACCTACCATTCTGAGAAAAAGAACAGCCTGTCGACACATGGCAATAAGTCTGGTCACATTGACAAGTTTGTTGGCATCTAAAACCGTATTTAGGATACAGACAAGTCTTGTTGCAGTTAAGTCCAACATATCCATCCATGCATGCTGCAATTGAAAACAAGATGTGTTTGTGAAACCTGTATGGCAGAGCATGACGTGCGAAAAAATTCTCGAAAGTTAAACAAAAAGGTGAATATCAAGAGATCAAAATGGCTGTACTCAAAGAAAGGTCTTGTCACAAGGAATACACATGTGAAATATGAAAGCCCAAGACCAACCGTTCAAAAGAAAGAGGGCGTACAAGGAGAGGACAATCCCCCGCTCTGGAACAGTTCATAGAAAAGTTATATTTTTTTAAAATAATGTTTTCCGTAATGTCATCCTCAACGCATTTAATTCAGTTCTTTTATTGAATGACTTTTTCATTGATAATTAGTTTTTAAAATTGATAGTAAAACATATTTAGTGGGAAATGGGTTTAAAAGAGTCAAAAAATTGATTTTTGAATATGAATGGGTCAAGTCTCCATTCTTCATTAACGTTTAAATGACGGAAAAGTAAATATAAAATCTATTTCATGTTTCAAAAAAATGGAGTTTAAACCCATTCTATATGAAAATGGAACATTTCTGAAGAAATTCACGCTTCAACAAACTCGTTTATTTAAAACACCCTGACACCAAACAATAAAGACGAACAGACTTCGTAGCGTAGTGGTTAACGGTTTCAGGCTTGCGCACTACCGTGAGCTTTGGAGAAAGTTCGAATTATGCGTAAAGGTTTTTTTTTATCTTTCTTTTCCACATACCTTAAAAACACTTGTGAAAAATAAATTATTTGTCAATAATCTATTCAACAAAATATAAGGAAGCAAATATGTTAAAGATTATGTTGACGATATAATATTTGAAAAATATAACTTTTCATGAACTTTTAGAATTGAAAAATGTCTTCTCTCAGAGCGGGCAATCGACCGCGCCTTGAACGCTTTCATTCTTTGTGGTCAAGATTAATGTTCTTCAAAAGTAAGTCAAACTCAAAGGTCAAAAGTATTTTTGTTTGTTTGTTTGTTTGTTTTTGTTTCTTTTTTTTTGGGTTTTTTTTTTTTTTTGGTTGTTGTTGTTTAACGCCCCACTCGAGTATTATTCACTCATATGCGGATGCCACCATTTGCCGATGGAGGGCTTCAAATTTATACCTATACTCGGCACTCAGGGCCATTGAGCAGTGAGGGATCTTTTGCGTGCTAACACGTACTGCGACAAGGGACCTAATCTATACAGTTTCATCCGAAGGACTAGTCTCCACGTCCCGAAGTAGATTCGAACCCGCGAAATAAGGATCACCTTACTCCGCTACTATAGAGCAAATGCGTGGAGACGAGACCAGTCCTTCGGATGAGACTGTATAAAGCGAGGTCCCGTGTCGCAGTAGGTGTTGGCACGAAAAAGATCCCTCACTGCTCAATGGCCCTAAGTGCCGAGCATAGGTTAAAATTTGCAGCCCTCCACCGGCAAGTGGCGGCGTCTCCATATGGGTGAAAAATTCTCTCGAGAGACGTTTAACAACATACTAGCAAACAAACAATAGAGCAAATGCTCTAACCACTGCGCCACTCAAGCGACTCAAAACTATCTGTACGCATGGAAAGGTCTTACAGTGTACAAAAAGAAACACTCTTATGAAGTATGAAAGCCCCAGCACCAACTGTTTAAAAGTTAGGGGCAAGGTTAAAGTTTGGTAAAATTTTATTAAAGTAGGTAAATATCCAAGGTCAAGAGGTAAAATAATTTGGTACCTGAAGAAAGGCCTTGTCACAAGGGATACACATGTCAAATATGACAGCCATAACTCCAACCAATAATTAGTTATTGGCAAGGTTAAAGTGTTTGAGGACAAGTAGATAAACAAACAGAATAACAGACAGAGAGGGACGGACAGAGCAAAAAAAAAATGCCTCCGAAACTTCAATTAAGGGGGCATAAAAAGCTCGCCTTTAAAGATTTCAATAAAAAAAAAACTTTAAAGCGTTCGAAAAAAAAAAAAAAAATTCCAGAAAAAGTACACTTTCAGTAAATAACTACTCACGCGAACATGTTTGTGATGTTTCATTCCATACTGATCCTACACAACAACCATGATTTCTTTAATTAAAATGATGATGCATAGCATTAATCAAAATCAAATTGTTTTCTGTTATGATTGTATATTTATAGAATTAAACTCCTTCATAGTTTCAATATTATTTAAATGTATACATGTAGAGTCATGTCAAAAACCACTGTCTGAATATACGGTATTGATTAAATATGGTGTACAAGAAACTTGTTTGAATTATCGTTACAGAAAATCAACATTACAGAAAGTGCAAATTACATACCGGCCATCACATCCCTGAAGATTTGCTTGAGGTATGAAGATTAAGGTTATAAAATTCTGCAGTACTAGAGACCCTTGTATGTAAAAAAGCATGTCTCTTTTTATAAATTCACATCTCATGCTCTGTTGCTTGACAGCATACGGAAGTTTTATTTTTTTTAATCTTTAAATAACTGCCGGGATATGACGATGAGTTATTTGAAAATGTAGTAAATCAAACAGGAACCTGAAAAGTAAAATTGTGTTAATCCATGCTAGTTTTTAAATTAGTAAAAGATTATCACTTTCTTATCTCATGCCATCATTAAGTATACATGTATATAAATAGAATTAAAGAAATGGGCTATAGCAATATTGTACATGTACTTATATGCTTGTAAGCGAAGTTTGTAATCACAAACAAGTGTAATACTTGCATTGCTTATTTAAACTTCATTTTAGTTCAGTCAGAGGTCAATACAAAACACCTAATAATTTTGATGTTCATAAGTGAAATATATGGAGATAACGAACAGTATCCAAGCTCAAAAGTCCATTAAACAATACAAAATAGGAGCAGAGCAAACACGGACCTCGAAACATCAGAGGTGGGATCAGGTGCCATGGAGGAGTAAGCATCCCCTGCTCGACTAATGTAATAAAATTAATGTAAAAAACATTGATGTAATAAAATTAATAAATGATGTTTGAAAATTGTACCTTCTCACATGTAAGTATTAAATATAATATTTTAAAATAATATTGTACATTACCAACACTGTGGAGTTTTAGGCAATAGGCACACACCAAGTTATGATTTTAATATTTTTCAAATATTTTATGAGTTAGAGAATTTTTTTTTTTATCAGTAAATGTGCATTAAATTCAGACTTTTTCATCAATTGATTGCATTACTCTGAAACGGGACTTAATGATTTTCTCTTTCTTAGTATTATTTCCAACTGCGTGAACAACTTTTAATCGTACTTATCTGTCATTCGTGCGTGAAGTATTAAAATATATTCATGACTGTACTAGTTTCAGAATTCAGGCATGAAGAATTAGAAAGAAACCCTTTTCTTCCTGTTCCTTTTATTTCAACGTGTTTAAACCCATAACCATTGCCATGTAGTTTAATTATAATATATTCTTACTACTTTTGGTTTGCGACACAGACTGGCGTTCTCACTTTAGCAGTATAATTTGTTTTAAAACACGGAAATATGCACGATTATGTATCGGTCACTCTCTAAACCGTGTTTGATTGTCAATCATGCTGTTATTAATAATTAAGTTAAGCCCCGTCTGGTTTGTATTTCACCAAATATTGTTTAAGTTTTAAGATTGAGCTTTGTTTTGCAAAGAAATTTTTACTAAACTGGAGATGGAGGTATCGGAATGGAAAATCTTGTTCAAGTATCAATAATATATATTTATATTAAGGGAGAAGGAAAATAAAGTATATTCCCCATAACCATTAATACAGAATAAACAAAAAAAAAAAACTTCCATGAAAATTGATATAATTAATTTTACATGTATATACATGCATAGTGTTACAAATGAAATCGAATATACAATTAAATACTCCGTTTAATAAAATATGGAACAGCAGTTGAAACATTGATGATACGAAAGCATTATGGAAGTGGAAGTCAAAGAAGATTCATTCTTTTTATGCTTCCGTAATGGATTGATAAATGTTGTTTTACGTCCCCTTCGAGAATTTTTCACTTATATAGAGACGTCACAATGTACCGGTGAAAAGCTTTGAAATAAGACCTTTACTTGGCACTAAAGGCAGTTGAATAGTTAGGTTTCTTTCTCGTGACAAGGGCTACCGTGACTGGGGCCTCGATTTTAAGGACCCATACGTATTTGAAGAATCGGGGGTTTATAAATGTTGTCCTGTCCATCCGTCTGTCTATCCGCAAAAACTTTAATCTTGCCTATAACTTTTGATTGATTGGAGTTTCACATTTCACTTGTGTATGCCTTCTTGTAAGACCTTTCTTTAGGTATTTACATGTTTGATCTTTGTGTTTGACCCACTTTAGCAATATTTTACCAAATTTTAACCTTTGCCATAACGTTTGAACAGTTGGTGTTATGACTTTCGTTCTTCACTTGTGTATCCATTGTGACAAAACCCTTTGCGGAATAATATACTTGAACTGTTGACCTTGACCTTAGAGTTGGACCCACTTTTACAAGTCCTTTAACATTGGCCATATCTTTTAAACAGATACAACAAGGGTTTTCGTATTTTACAGGTGTATTTCTTGCTACAAAACCTTCCTTCGGATACCAATAATTATGACCTATTGATCTCGACCTTAGTGGTTGACATACTTTTGAAATACTTTAACCTTTGACAAAGCTTTTGAGCAGTTAGAAGTAGGGCTATTATGTTTCACCTTTGTATTTCTTTTGACAAGACTTTTGAGACGAGTCTTTTCTTAGAACAACAACATTATGAATTTCTTGAACTTGGAGTTTGACTTTGATATTGTATTTGAGAAACTTTAAACTTCGCCATAAGTTGTCGTATGCATACGCGGGCATCAGAGTTCTACAAATATATCTTGTTTTATTTACATCCAATTGTTTCATCTGCATGCTCTGTGCGGATTGTCATCTGTCCTCGGCGGCTGTATAAGGTCTTTTATTTTTTACAGTTTAATTAAATAAATCTTTTTCAAGGATCCGTCAAAAGTAAAATCATTTTGTTTTGGATCATACTATTCTAAAAGTCTACTTTCATAGTCTAACATTTGAGCAAGCAACAATCTTAATAATGTGGAGAATTTTATATGCAATATTTAGAATAATGATTGAAACACACGATTTTTTCACATATTTAGATAAGCACAATACATTGCTGCGTCAATGTATAAAAAATAAAATTGCATGTACTTTATTTTTATACTTCCATTTCCGTACTCTCTATAACCCATTTTAGTAAATTTATTTTAATATTTGGCTATCTATGATTTGACAACAATGAAAATAATTTTAAGCCTCTGCACTTGAAACAGTCTTCTCACTCTTGATCGGATATATACAAGGAAATACTGTATATATATATACTGTATACAGGGCTATTTTCGCCTTTTCACACTTGCGAACAATTTTGACGTTTCAGAAAACAGATAGACGGGCGATATGGAACATCTAAGAAACATTTCTTTTGTGGTCATTATTACATGTAACAAATTTCCCCTACCAAAACGTATCGTTTTAATTGGCTTCATGCTTAGTCATGTCTCACCAAATTGTTGACTCTCCATGTAGCGAGAGTAATCTTTAAGGTCAATGGGCCTTAAGTGTTTACAGAGAAGAGGTTCTAAATTATTATTTTTTTAAACCAAGTACATACTCAGAATTTCATAACTAATTACTAGTAAACATAAGTGTCAGGAAAAGAAAAAAAAAACTGGAATGTTACTTACACCCTATATATCAGTTCTATGTAATGACATTGACATAGACAATGCAACAATGTTTCTGAACGTAATTAATATTGATCGTCTCAGACTTGCATTAGACAATGTATATAGTGTGCACGAAAAATTGACAATCGAAGAACTCCAGACCTGTTGGTTATGGAATACTGGAGTAATAACGGCTGATGATTCATCAAACAAAAAGTATGTACTCTTGCAGACTTTTAATTCTAAAACGTTTTACCTTTCCTGAGCTGTAAGCTCAAATAAGCTTTGTTTCTGATCATCTGTTTTCCGGCGTCTGTCTGTAGACTTAACATATATTCAACTTCTCTAAAATCATTAAGAAAAGTTCAACCAAATCTTTACAATGTACACCTTCGTAGGTAGAGGAAATTCATTTTAAAGTGATAGCCAGTTTCCTTTTCTTGGGAGAGATAATCAAGAAAAGAAAACACTAGGGTTGGTTTATTAAAAATAATGTACTCTAAGGACGACATATTCAGAAAATATATATGTGCAAGTATCCTCAGTTTCGACAGATTCCCGAAAGTTTGAATTAATCTCACTGTGTCTAAAGACAAGAAATAGATAGCAAAGAAAAATTTTTACATGTGACCAAATAAAGAAAAAAAAAGAAAAATCAAGAGAAGCAGTTCGACGCTACATGTAAGACGTTGTTATTGATTTGGAAGCATTCCAAAAGCAGGAATTGTATTGAAACTCTTTTCAGTCTAAGATGTTGGCGAACCTGGGATTAAGGTGGGGATGAATTTTATGTAATGAATACACCCGTGTGTAGAAGTTCCAACTCCCCGTCGATTCTCATTCGGAAGTCACTTGGAATTACTTGGAAGTATTTGGAAGCATTTGGAATTCCAAGTACTTCCAAGTCATTCGGAAGAATTTTATTTGGAAGAATCTGAATTTAATTTGGAATCTATTTGGAACCATTTGGAAGTGCAGAGATGAAACTTAGTCTATATGTTTAATGAGCAGATGTTATGTTGTCAGGTGATCTGGTTCGAGGAGACTTGTCTCGGGCTCGACCTCGTGAATTTTGAAATCAGGCGGTTCAAACCTAAACAGTGTTGCATCATCATCATGATCGCATTAAAAGAGGATTGATCTTCTATGAAGTATATGTAGTGCAATGTAGATAATTAACATCTTTTAAGTTCATGACTCGGTGGTATCTAAATCTTCATTTTATGCCGCACTCCTCTTTGAAAAAAAAAAAAAAAAAAACAGTTAGACACTGTCGGATTGATCATTGCTGAAACTGTGAAAAGTGTCTTTTGTCAGTGCATGTTCTGATGATAATACAAAGTGTTCGACTTTTATTACTTCCGTAAATACATGAAGCCAGGAAATACCTAAATTATCGCTATTCTTCATTTGTGACTTGGATTTGAATTTTGCAAAAATATCGGTGAATATTTTAATTAAAACAGTTTTACACGATAATCTTTAACCAGGAAGGTTTGTCTTTTTCAAATGCAATGAATATCAAACATTAAATGATGCCAAAAGAATAGTGTTTTTTATGATATATATTATCAAATCGCTGGTTGTTTGTTATCTGAACAACATGTTTAAATATAAGGCAATGAAATCTTGTTTTTATTTGTTGAATCACATTTGTAATAGTCATTCGGAAGTCATTTGGAAATTTCTAGAAAAATCTGAGTTTTAGTCATTCGGAAACAACTTGGAAGTAACTTGGAAGTCATTTGGAACCATTTGGAAATTTGTTCCAATACTCCGAATGGTGATTTGGAAATTCAAAATGAAGAATTCCAAGTGATTAACTTGGAAATTCCAAATGCAACTTGGAACTTCTACACACGGGATTAGGGAGTACAAACTTTTTGAAAATCCTTTTTGTTTTTCAGAAGGGCCGAGGCATGTTTCATATTGAAGTAACCGCTGAAAGGTTTGTGAATACAATCAACTTGTTGTTAGTGTTGCGTCTATTTCTTTTTTAACTCTTTGTTTGCAATCCATCAGAAATAGTCTGAAATATTAATAAAAATATAATGCAACTTTTCTGGAGAAGAATTTTTCAAAATTTTTTTGAAAGCTTTTTATTTCCATATAAAACTTCGATTTCTGCTCCACCCTTCCCACAAGTTCTTTGATTTGAAGGAAAAAATGCTTCTTTACTGCTGAAGATACCCTCATTGCAAATCGAAATTCCCTAATCCCAAGGATGCTTTGTGCCAACTCTTGCTGTACATGTATTCAGCGCTGAAGTTCTAGAAGGAAATTGAAAAAAAAAATATTAAGTTTCAAGAGGGAACGGATACCGGACAACGGGTGATATGAAAAGACCACTCAAGCTTATTGCTCAGACAGTCAGGTACTTACAAAGAATTATGTATGTTGCCACTAACATTTTATAAGAAGTGAATATTTATTAGACAATTGAAATTGAAAATATAAAAAAAATAAAATGGAGGTATTTCTGAACCATGTTTTATATTTTCTGTATTAAAAATATAAAAGAGTACACAAAATTTGGTTGATTTTTTTCTTTAGAATTTGTTTTCTGTTTTAAATTTCATGCCCCCTGCCCCCCACCAAAGATACCGTAATCTGAAAAATGCAACGGCACATAATGTCAGTAAGCGTTATATTTACTTTTGTTTCCTGAGGGTATATTTTTCATTTGACCCAATGTAGAGAATCGGTCACCTCTTAAAAGGTTCATATTAACTTCACTTAACAGGGGTCCGGATCCCCTCCACCCCCCCCCCCCACCCCCCACCCCCGGACCCATGCATGAAACTTTTTTTCGAAAATTAATGACTTACTGCGTGTTATTCATTTTATACATCAAAATGTATGGCTTCCCTTTCCAGGTAAACATCAGATGATGTTAGATACAATTGGGGATGTTCTCTTATCGATATATTAGTTATAAGTATACAGGAGTACAGTGGCTGCAACGTTATTGTTGACAACTTACACGAACGATCACGTTACACGAACGATTCCGCACGATTAACGCACGATAAATCCTGTTACACGAACGATCCCTCACGCACACGATTCTACACGTTACACGATCTTACACGATTGTTAACGCAAACGCACGATTCTTCACGCAAAATAGTTCAAATTCTTTAGGAATGGATATTTTCAAAACGAAATAAGCCTTAATATTTATTTTAGATTTCAAATAATTATTGATATTATTTCATCGACTTTGAAAAATAATAGAAAAAAATAGAAATGGATATTTCTGAAACTAAATACATTAGATAACAAATAATTATTTACATAATTCTCCGACTTAAGAAAACTGTTGTTTTTTTCTTTCTATCAGAAGATGTACTTGTACATGTAGATGGACCGTGAGTTTTGATTGAATTAGATTTCATAATATGCAGGAAGGGATAAGTCTGAAGAAAATTGGCATGAAAATGAATTAAATTATAAGTTTAATCCATGTTTCCATTTGTGAATCTCTAAAATCAACAATTATTTTACAAATCATTTATTTGCAGAAATTATAAAAATAGTTAAAAGTAAGCTCCAGAGATAAACACTGATAAACGAAACCCCGACAATCATGTCGTGTACATGTACATTCGCGGACTAAATATTTATGTAAGCGTAGAGAGTTGTATATTTATTTATTTGTAAAAATATCTTTTTTTGATCTATTGATTTTAAAAATATCTTGACCATAATTAGCAGTAGACATGATTAACATTAGAGAAAAAAAAAATCCTTAAACATCTAAGTACGGTTTATCACAAAAAATCACGCGATTTGACGAGAACACAATATTGTACGACTTACTATATTGCTTATTTCCAAGCGATAATTAGTTCGTTCTGCTTTCAATTATGTAAATTGCCTTTCATTCATTTAATTTGGATTGAAAAAAATTTAGACAAGCGAAATGCTTGTATAATAAATAACATTCCGATAAAAACTTACAAAACGAAATTTACACGTTTCTTAACGCACGATCACGCACAATTAAAACTGCAAACGATTGAGTCTGATACACGCACGATCTCGCACGTTACACGAACGATTCTAAACGATTGGTTTGTCAACAATAACGTTGCAGCCACTGTATCTGGTGTCAAACTAACACGTGGTAAAACAAGTGTTGGGTTCTAACAGAAACATGAAAGTGCTCTGGTAATAGACAGAAAACAAAAGAATGATGTTTCATTTATTTATTGATAAGGAAAACTGACGTAAAGCAAATTAGAAAACACTTGTAGAACACAAGATGGCTGCATCCGAACTATTTTATTACATTTTTACGCAAAGTAATTAGGTCACATATTGTATTACAAAAAACAATTACAAAAGATATGAAAAATATAACAAAAACTTTCGAAAATGGCCCTATGCTCATATGAGAAAAAAAAAATGGCAGCATCATCACATTTTTTGTGTGTTTGTGTGCTTGACTGGAAATTTTAAAGTGACACTGTGACAGACAAACGGGAAAATTGACAACAGTAGAATTTTTGCATGATACAGGCAAATTTTGTTCAGTACTTGAAGATATTAGGTTTCAGAAAATTACAGATTTCAGAACCTAAAAAATCTAATTTAATGGAGAAAAATAAAAGTAAAAAAAATCTTTGTATAACCCATCACAAAAATATTGCTTCACTTCTTCCTCTTTATTGTATGCATGCGCTGAAAAGTTAAAGAATTCACCATGGTTTCAATTCCATAGATATAAATGTCGGATGACCTAGAATCTTGAAACAATCTTCAAAAAAGATAATCAAACTTAATCCTTACTTCTGCTTGCCCCAATTCAATGTTGTTTACGAGTTTCACGCTAAAAATAGAGGACGCTTGACCTTGACATTGTTGACATTGACGATAAAAACAAAGCGATAGATACAACATTTGTTTTTCCGGCACTTATATTTTTGAGTTTTTTTTCTTGCTTTACAGTGCAGTTGAGTTGTCAAAACTTCGCTATATTCATATTTCACAGAAATCTTTTGTTTTGTGTTACAATTAATTTTCTTAAAAGAAACACATGGTTTTGACTCATTATGCAACTTTAAGAAAAAACCTGCTATTACGAGAAATTATCAAATTTGCCATATTTTGTTAGAAAAATGGTCAATTAAGACAACGCACAAATATCTTCTGACGAAGCTTAATAGGCTTATAGACGGTATCTTTTGAAATGTAAGTTTTCTTTCAATGAAATATATGGAGAGAGCGAACTGTAATTATTCAAGCTCAAACAAAAGTCCATTCAAACAATGCAAATTAGGAGCAGAGCAAACACTGATATTTAAAACAATAGAGGTGGGATCAGGTGCCAAGTCAAAAAGTATTTTTTTCTAAATCAGTAGTATTGAGAATATTTTCCCCTCAATTTAAAGGCATGTAATTAATTCGATTTGCAAGGTTTGTACTTAAGTGCTCAGAGGTACAGTACCAACCAGACCCAACCTGACACCTAAGCAGTCCCAGAAAGCATGCAGTCCCAAAGACTGCTTTGGGACTGCTGTGGGACTGCTATGGGACTGCTTTGAGACTGCTTTGGGACTGCTCTATAAAGCAGACCCAGCATTCTCAACAGTTTCCGGGACTGCTTTCTGGGACTGCTTTGTTCACTCATGCGTAAAAAATGTTCTGATTTACATGATAGCTCCACCCCCTGTGCTTAAAGAGCGCTATTTTTTACCGCCCTCAAATAAAACCTAATAATTAATTTTATTAAATGACCATGAAATAAAATTATTCTGCTATTCTTCCGTCATATAAGCAATGTGAACAAGTACATGTATTTTGGGATTTATTTATAAGATTAGTTTTTAATTTATCAACAAGTTATTAAAAAGGTACATTTATTTAGAAAATAAACATTTAAAAATATCGGGAATTGTGTGGTGTCAAAACTTGAGGTCTCAGTCGCCTTTGGACATGATAAGCAGAAAGTCAATGAATGGTATCAGTGTTACACATCACTGAACACGCTGGTCAACAATAACACTATTTTCAATCTATGAACTGCAAAATATCTGTGTTTCAATAAATGTGTATAGATTTATTGATTAATTTTAAACAGAATCTGGGGTTCCATTCGCGTGTTTTACAGATGCACACTTATATAAAACACTTAAAACTGAGTGTTATTGTTTTCTGTTACATAAAGAATCTGACGATAATCAAATAAGCAAGTCAGTGAAAATAATCATGACTGAAATATAATACTCGGCAAAATTTTACAAAGAATTTTTCGAAAGCCCCAGGACTTTCCAGTGAGAAAAATGCATTCAGAGTATAGTATGGGAATCGGCCTTGCTCTATAATTATAAAATCTATTTAAACTGATTCTGATAAAAAAGAAATAATTCATTGACAAGTTCACGGCCAGGAACACGTTAAGTTCCTTTACAGCACCGTTGTCAGAGACCTTTAAAGTTAATTAAGCACTAAAATTGGTTCGTTGTCATGACCCCACAGGTGAGGTTAACATAATGTCCGTCCGGTGTCATTCAAAATATACAAAACTTTTTACTGAATGCATAAAAAATCATGTTTTTGTTCAATTCCAGGAATACACTTAAAAGTATTTGGAAACCGATACAGCATTCAGTGTTCATGACAAAAAGTTATGTCTCTGTTATCCTATATATATTCTGAGTAGTTTTGATTGGCGAATACATACCATGGTGAAAAAGCATGGATGTGCGGTGAAAAAAAATATTTTTCTTCATCAATCTATTTAAAAAGCACTTTAATTTCGTAGTTTGAAAAGTAGCTCTATTTTCATTTCATTAGACAAAAACAGCCTTTTGCAGAACGCATATGCATACTATATGAGAATTTGAAATTTATAAGCAAAATGGCCGTTGTCAGTACATGTTAAGTTGATATGGTCCGGTGTCACTTGTCTTAACATGTAAATCTGTCTATGTATGGTGCGGAAATGATCAGATTTATTTATTCTTAAGGCACATAATATCGGAAGATGTCCCAAACTTAAACTTTGAATTAAAATTTGAAATTTAAAAAACTTCAATAAAGTAATTTCAATTCCAATTCTACTAGGTACGTGCATGTATTTTGGTGTGCATATCAGCAGTAACAAAAAATAAAAAAAAAAAAAAAACCATAATAAACATACTGAATAGTGTGCGTTTTATTTTACTATTCGTAAAGAAGTAAAGATAATTTTATGAGTTAAAAAATACTCGATGCCGAAGTCTGTTGGTTGGCTGCTTGCTTGCTTCATGTCTATTGAACACTACTGACTGCCTATTGAGGCATGGTTTAGATCTGTACTCGGCACCTGTGGACATAGAACAGAAAAAAAAGATTTATTTCGTACCAACGTCTGACTACTATGATACGGGAATTATACCGGTCTCGACGTCCGCGTTGAAATTCGAACCAGTGACGTAAGGATCAATTTTCTTGCTCCTCCACACTAGATCGAGTGAAATGCTCTTAGACTAAACCACTGCATGCGCTTCGTGCTGCAAAGGTGTTCACCCTTAAAAGTCTAACTTTGAAGCTCAGGAAAATCTTAAATTCCTTTGCCATTAAATCGTCCACCCAATGATATATTCAATTATTTTTGTTTTATAATGAGATTGGTCCTTTGAATTTAATTTAAATTATTAAGGTTTTCTCATAGAAATCAGTCCCATGTTATCGATGAAACATGCTTTTAAATTTTCTATCAATAGCACTTGTTCGAAACCTACGGCGCTGTTGGAGGGTCAGATAAAAAAATATTTATTTGCTAGGACGAATAATATAAATTCGATATTTGTTCGGACAGATTAGATATTTGTTCAGACAAATTAGATATTCATTCGGACAAATTAGATATTTGTTCGGTCAGACAAATTAGATATTCATTCGGACAAATTAGATTTTTATTCGGACAAATTACATATTCGTTCGGCGAAATGATAAATGTGTGACCGGTTTTCCTTTCCAACATCTTTTCCCTCTATTTTCAGGTATAATTGATAAATAGAATGCATTAAACAGTAGTGTACAAATGTTGTATACTGTACAATTCTGACAACGGACTGATGACAACGGACTGACTTTTCGTAACTTGTCATAACAACGGACATAATTTGAATTACAGCAAAAATTTTCAGTTTTACTTAGCATTGGACTGCTTTGTGTCAGTTTGAGTCTGGTTGGCACTGTATACCTTATCTTTCAGCACTTTTAAACTCACATTCTTCATACAACACTACTCAGTATTTTCTACATTTTCAGGCTGCGTGTACAAATGCATTTACTTATTTATTTAACCTTTATTACTTAGATAACATTTACCATTTATTTATATTAATTATTTCAATTAAATAACCCAAAATTAATGAGAATTTTACAGTATCGGTATTATTGAGATGAAGTGGTACTTAATAATTAATAATTTCAATTTTTCTGAGAAAATAGACTTACCATACCCTTTATTAATATTGCCGTTGAACATGCAGTTGACCAGGCGACATTTTTTGTTTACAACGGGCGTTCGATATTGAACACTCGTATACGGAATGTTTCGGGGCATAGTCGTATACGTAATACAATTCTTAAGACTTTAATTTATTTATTTATTTATTTATTTATTTATTTTTTGAATGTTTTTGTCATAGACCATTTATCAGCTTTATCATAAAAAATAATATAATCTTTGTATAACTGAGAGATTTTAGATACGAGATAAGAAAGTTTACATGTAAAAATTATTTCACTGTCTTTTTTCCCTAAAGAGCAAGGAAAGGCCAGGCTAATCCATATTGGAAAAAAAAATGGCTTAAAATACATGTATGTGCAATCATTTTCTTATTTTTTTTCTGAGATCTGGGGATGGGGTAGGACAGAAAACATAGAAATTTTACACAACTCATGTGTACATGCCATTGGGAAATAATTCTCCAGAACAAATAAAAATGGCCTAATCCTTATCCTCTATTCCACCCCTCTGCAAGGCTTTTAAGAAAAAAAAAAAAAAAACGCTTAGTAAAAAGGAAGTTTATCTGTCATTGCATTTTAAAGCTTGTTTCCTGAAATCTCACAGCATATTTATTTATACAAACAGGGTGTTACAGAAAACATGCAACCAGTTTGATTTTTTTTTTTTTTTTACATTTTACTCGTGTTTCATTTAATACCATCCACAAACATGTTGAATTAAAAGGCTTAATTTCAAAATAAATCTTGTAAAAATAAAATTAATCCTGCAAATAGATAAAGAGTTTCAAAAGAATAAAGAAAACTTGTAAAATTTTACCTAGTTATACAAATATACGTCATAATTAATTCATATAATAAAATTTCCCATTTTTTTTTTATTTTCAATAAAATCTTAAGCCTAGTTACTATAATCTAAATATGAATTTTTATATATTTCTGCTTGCATATCAATAAAGTGAGGAAAGCAAATGTTTACATGTTTTCTGAAACACCCTGTACATATACACTTAATAAATACTACACTTTCATCTTCCTGTTTTGGAAAACTAGTTGTACATGTATAGCTAGATATATTTCGTACATATTGTAGCCTTTATCCAGGTTTGCATATATTTATAGTTTTTAGAGTGGATCGGAAAGACAGAGTGAAGAGACATGTATCGCACTAAAGCTGGTGAGGTTTAATTCTATTCATTCTACCTTATTGTACCTTAATTCAATCTTTTCACTTGAAAAGCATGATTATTTCACAACTAAACTGTAAAGTTTGATTCAGTTCTGCAGCAGGTTTGCTTCAAGTCGCGCAGAAACAAAAATTATTCACAGGAAGAAACCCTTTTGTATGCAGATGGTTACCATTAGCTGCGATCTTGTAGCTAATACTGCAGCGATTGCTGCAATCTTATAATAAATTGGCAGGAATTCAACTTTTCACGGACATAATGGATATTATGATTAAACTATAACATTGAGTAGGAAAACAAAATACGTATTATATTCTATTTATAAACTGTCATGCGTATGATTTGTCATCGATATAATAATTCAGAACAAGACTTACAAGGTGTTTCACAATATATGTCACACTTCTTAAGGCAGAAAAAAAAAATACAACAAAAGTTACATATACAATTTATATTTTATTTTAATCAGCAGAATATCAAAATTATATGAATTCAGAAGTATTCAGGATGCTCCATTTCAGTTTCTATGGCAACGATTTCCTAAAATGTTATACTCCAAGTCTCTGACCACTGATTTGTACGTTTCACAGGATACTTTACAGATGTTTTGTTTTATATCTGGCTTTTAAGAATTCCCAAAGTACATGTTTATTTTTTTTTTATTTAGAGTTGCATTTAAGGACGACGGACCTAATTCGAAATTTCGCGCCACTGCGCAGAAAACCGCGCATATGCCTTGAATCAGATTGACGTAACTATGTATCGCAAAAGATAAAAAAAAAAATATACATTTTTAATTCTTTTGAAGAGTTTTAAACGTTTCCTCTCAATTCCAGAATATTGTAAACATTTCGATTTATATTCATTTGTTGATTCTATAAATAAATTATTTTTTACGACATTTACCGAAAGCGCATATCAACAATAGCCTGGTCCCCTGGCTCATCCTTGCAGCGACGCGGAGTACACGAAGCAAAACAGGGACAGGGAACCAGGCTAGGTGTACAAAAACACATATGTATGATGTTAATAAAAAAGAAAGAAACGACGAGAGAACGCTTTATGTATACTACGGCCAAAATGTACGATCCTCTCCCATTCTTGGTTCTATGCCTTTGAGCGGACTCTGAATGGTAACCGTGGCTTGAGACGATGATCATGAAGTTCAAGTTGATGTTTCTGACGAAGACGATTAACTGTGGTACCCGTATTATTTTTGAAGACGTTTTAAGACTCAGGGGTATGTCATCGATTTGAAAGAACGATCTTTTCTGAAGAATGTCTAAGATATATATTGGCATCTCATTCTGGAGTTTAACTTAATGAACATAAAAAGTTTTTAAGTGCATGTTTGTAAACATGTAAATGAAGTAGAAAACACACCAAGAACCAGGAATGCCAGGACCTAAGCGAAAACTTTCTGATTGACCATGTTGACATCAACAATGAACATTTGGAACAGGTAACCGTATTTAAATATAGGCCTATATATTTTTTCAATGTTACATTTGGTATTATTTATTCATAAATATTAATACAGTTTTTCAATGCATGCATGCATGCGCCGCAGGTAGGTTAAGGCTTCCCGTAGAAAATCGCAGTGCACTCTGTGCCTTCACTTCGCTGAACTACCAAAATATGACGTCATAATGGAAAATGACGTCAAGTCACTGCCAACTTGAGGTGTCATGACAGGGAGAGTGTCATGAACTTTACACTTTATTTCAAGCTGCATGTAAAATGCTAGATAGCTATTGCAAAATTCACGGGTCGTTAAAGGTTTTTTAAGTCTTATATGTCCGAATTTTTTGAAAATACACCGCTTACCTACCCTTGATTGAAATTCAGCATGTTCAAAATGCTTATGAAAAGTATACTTTTGAAATGTACTCTGTTTTATACCCGTGGTTGGAGGTAGAAAATATTTTGTGTGTATAAAAGAGTCTGGCGCAGGTGATTAATAAGGATTTATCTGAGAAATTTTGTGGAAATCTCTAAGAAGAGGTTGTTCTCTAACTGAATCTTGCTTGGGAAAAATATGTGTTGGCTTTGTTTTAATACAGATTACGATACTATGTGGAAAATACCCTCAAATTTGTAGGTAAGTTGAATTTCTCACGAAATATTTTGTACCCAAGTAATACTATGACTTTTCCCAAGCACATTTCGGGTACACAAGGTTACGATGAGTTTATTTATATAACAATATGTAAATAATTATTGTGTTAATCAGCTGCGCCAGAGCGATTTATATGAAACACTTCAAAAAATTATAAATGACCGTCACGTGATCAAGAACGTCATGTGATATCATAACAAATATGTTGATATATAGCCGAAGAAACCCTATATATAAATTGGAAGTACTAAAGTTCAATCCTTATAAATTAAAACCAAAACCGACCTCGCAAAGACATATTATGTTTTGAGCGCATTGAAAAGCTTCGGAAAGCCTTAACATAGCTGCACAGACAAATCTTGTCAATAACTTTGTAAAAAGGATTTTGGATGCAACATAAATTGCATTAAGGACAATTCCTAATTAGGGTAGCCTAGTTTATAAGCATAGTTGATTCTGATAGAATTTGACCGAGCTGAACTAAGCCAGATAAACCTGGCTACATGCTAATAGAATCAAATAACCCAGCTTATGTTGTGAGCAGTATAAATAGAAATATTGTAGTTCTATGGTAAAACATAACTAAGATAGAAAGGACTGCAAATGTATAATAGTTCACTGTCTTCACCAGAGTATCTCCATCAAAAGCTTCTTGTCATAGAATAAACCACTTTCAATACAAATATCTCCAAGGACACAATGTCGAAGCCGCCTGACATGCCTGAGCCTTTCAATTTTTTTTTGCTCAGTCAGTCCTCCAGTCTTGATGCGAGTGCAATACCATCTCACAATATACATATATTATTGACTGGGTTCAAAGGAAACGTGTTAAGATGAAGGCAAACAGTTGGTTTTAGAGGTCAACAAAACATTTTGCCTGAGAAAACAGTTACTTAATAAATGTTTTGTTACTGTACCTTGTACCTTTTATTTTTTAAAATACATGTATCTTGTGCTGGCTTCCTTAATCTAAATTTCCTTTACCAGCACTTTGATGAAACTTGTGATCGGTCAATTCCGTCACTGTAAAACACAAATGAATGCTAATGAGATTTAGCTGATCCTGTCCATTGTGTTATGTAACCGGTCCAATATCTCATCGGCAGGTCCAATATCTCACTCCGAGCTCAAACATTGATTTTTTTAATGACCACTCAGTAAAATATTGGAAATGTTAGACTTTTTAAGTGTAGATTTAAATAGGAACTGGTCATTCCCTGTTTTACCAAAGTGCTGAATCATCAGAATCAAGTATGCTACATGTATTATGTGCCATATTATATAAGTGAACCCTTGAATCATTTGTTTTAACTATGATAATTATATTTATCTGAATTATCTCACAAAACTGTTTCCTCCAAAATTATAAGTTGCCTTCATATCTTTTACAGTGCACAAAGCTTTGAAAAAATTAACATGATTAAACAGCTTTAAAAATGTGTATACTTGAATCACACTAATCATGCTAATTGGTCGTTATGATGCTATCTTGTACATCACAATATTCACATGTATTTTGAATTTCAAATTTAATAATTGATTTTTTTTTTACCACAGAAAACAATCTACAGAGATACATGTACTGAAGAAATACCTGCTGTTGAAAAAAAACCCTAGCTAAGACATGTTTGTTTTTATTTAGTACAAACAACATGATCAGGTAAGTTGAGTGTGTTGATACTTTTGAAAAATGAAAACACCACTCTTGTTTAAAAAGGGAATAAATGTGAAATATGTTCTTATTTGCTGCTCCTGTTCTTTATACACTGCACATGCTCATTAATCATATGCTTTATTAGGGTTTGAATATGCATTTTGACTTTGAGTATATTCATGTATTTTTTACTATCTATTTATTCACCTAACTTTGAAATGTATGATTGTACTTAATTTTATATATTGTTTGTATCATGTAAATCCTAAGTTGGTTCCCATATTGTGATTATATTTAAACTACAATATTTAATAATACGTTTTATATTTTTTCCCTCAGAAAAAATACATAAAATTCAAAGTTTTGGACAATGAAAAAATCATCATAACTAGTTACATGTGTAAACTGTATACTTGATAATGATTAAATATTTATTTATCTGAATATCACAATCATTTTTTGTGGATTTCTTTCCAGGTAGAAACAACAATATAACTCAAATTGCTGCATCTATTGGAGCACCCATCTTTAGCAGAAATTTTACTTGAATTTACAGCATTTCCATCAAGGCATCAAAGCATGAATTGATCGTTGTAACTTGCATGTAACATCCCTTGCAAGATTATTTAACCCTTATGAGAAATCACAAAATGCAGTGAATGACTTGAAATTTAGACCTTTGCTCAACACTAAGGCCCGGTGAGGAGTGAAGGTTCTTTAGCGTGCCAATGCCTGCTCTTACATGGGACCTCAACTTTTACTGTCTCATCCAAGACCTCCAACTTTCACTTTATTGTGCCAAGTGCTAGTGTTGCCGTTTGGGCTGGAACCCTCGACCCAAGAACCAGGAGGGAGCATTCCACAAAATGGGTGATCACAACACCCATACAGTGAAGATTCTGAAATGTTCAAATCATGACCCCCAGGGGTAGGGTGTGGCCATAATTGGGAACCTCCAAGCATAATTAAGAGTTGCAATTACATGTATTTTATAATGGCTCGTTGTGTACTCGTACATAGGAAGAACAATGAAGACGGAAAGGTGTATGTAACAAAAGTAAATGAAAACTTAGCTCAAGCAATTTTCGGGAGGAGTGATTTTGTTTTTTCAAATACATGAGCATGTCATAATGATTTAAAAAGCGTTAAAAGCTGCTTTTTTGTACATCTTCCACAAATGTATTGTTACAGCATCAGAATACATGATTAGCCACTGGGAAAACTATTCATATAAAACAAATTGCATATTGTTGTTGTACATTTACACAGCATGTACATTACTCATTACATTTACAGATGTGATGAAATATTTAGGTACTCTACATGTAGTTACTTGTACGGTTGGTGTGAACCGGTTTTACCAAACATGAAAACATTTTTGTTATTTCTCATCAGAAAAAAATAAAACTGTAATAAAATTTTGGTTAAAAAAATTAAAGTTTGTATACCTAATAGGTAAATGAAGTGAAATCATTATAAACAAACACAAAATATTTTTGTATATTTCAGCACATTTTGATACTGAATGGTACTTTTTCAACGCTTCATAGTTACATCTTTTATACCTGTCATCATTTTTTCCTGAAGTGTGAAATACTTTATGAATAAAGTATTATATTTGTGTGTTAACTCCTTATATTCTTTACAATGAGAGCAGCCTCAGGGTAAAATAATACAGGTGCATGATTGTAAAATGTTTTTTTTTAAAGGTTGTAGAGTTTACTACCCATAGCATGCACGTCCTGTAAAAAGACACATGAATTCTCAATTGAAATAATATTTTTGTAAAGATTTTGGGTAGTAATTCCCAAATGACAAGCTGATGGATATTTTCTTCCCTATTTACATGTATCACTATCAAAAGTCTTGGAATTTGTAGATTATTATTAATTTATAAAGATAAGAAAAGAGGATACTCCTACAATTTAAATATTTATTCTACAGTTTATCATAGTTCATTAACATGATTAAGACATCAGTATTCAATCATAGATTTTATATTTTGTCTTTTAAGTTGACTATTAAAGCATATTTAGTGGAAAATGAGTCTATCAGAGTAATTAAAAATGATTTTGATTATGAATGCCAAATTTTGCCATATTTCAATTTAAAACTCTTGGTCCAAAAAATACAGAACCCTGTACAAAAAAGACTTATATAAGCTCTAGTTTATATAGATAATAAAGACAGAGTAAAGTGTCGGAACAAGACAGAAACCAAAAAGTCCTATCTTGAAACAGTTCCTTAAAATTCACTTGGTCTTTTACCATCTATGCATATCTATAATTTGATAAACACTGTATCATATACATGTACATGTATTAGAGTTTAGTTTGCTCAGAAAACTTCTGAAATGAACAGGCTTGCAGATAATGATTTGTTACATCAGGGACCTATAGGACGCGGATCACGTAAATCATACTTTGAGACCATCCCTAGAGTATTATACGCGCATAATTCACGTATATCATACTTGGACACCATCCTTAGAGTTTTTTTTTTTAAATTGGCAAACCACTTTTAATTATTATCATTATTTAGTATTAAAGTAAGTTAAAGAATAAGTACATGAAACATCAGAATTTATTTGGCCAAGGTATTTTCAATGATAATTTTCCCCAAAATGTGCCCTACACCAGAGTTTGACATGCCCCCCCCCTGAAAAATTAAGACCGATGACCCATTTATTTTTTGGCATAATTTGCTAGTAAATTGTCTTGTTTACATAATCCTTTAATATGAATAAAAATTCTATTGCAGAATTTTTTTAATGATCACTTTTATACCGTACACTGGCAATTTCCCATTACTTTCTATAGTAATTATTGGTTTCCATCACCAACTTTTGAAACGCTCCCCATTAAAAATCTACATCGATGACCATATAATTTTTTTATTGATTTTAACTCACCAAAAGTCACTTTACCTCATATCAAAATTTAAATAAAAACTCTATTGCAGAAATGAATTAGGTCCGTCGTCGTTAATATATCTTTTTGAAGATTTGTTAACATCTAGCATTTCTATATTTAGAAATCGCGTCATTTGCCACCAGCTTATCAATGGCAGCTTGCATTGGGACTTCACATCCGGGTTTTAAACTTAATGTGGCATCTCTCTCGAGAGATGACAAAAAGTAGATCAAACTCCAAGGTCCATGTGAAATTTTATTGTTACCCAAAATAAATTGTCACAAGGTTTCAGTTTTTCAAACGTGGATCAAACCCCAAGGTCTAGGTCTGAAGTTAAAGAGTATTTAAACTCAAGGGATTTTCTTATCACACAGAAGATATATTTAGAGTATAGAAGCCCTGGCACCAACCGGTCAAAAGCTTTTGTCAAAGTTTAAGTTTGATAAAATTTTGCAAAAGTGGGTCGAGGGATCACATATGTTTGTATTCAAAGAAAGATCTTGTCACAAGGAATATATATGTAAAATATGAAAATCCTTTTTCCAATCAATCAGAATTTATTTGCAAAGTGAAAGTTTTGCGGAAAAAAAAGTCAGACGGACGAACAGAGCAAAAAACTATATATGTAGTATAAAAATGCCCTGATATCAAAACATCTGTTTGAATATTTTTACGTTTATGTTTCCTTATACCCTGGAAACATCTATTTGAATATTCTAAGTCAACATTTCTTACTTTACGATGAAGTGCTTTAAAAATAGCACATACTCAACATATTAACTGGAAAACTCAATTCTTTTCAAGAGTTGATAATCATATACTACAGAGAATTATATCTAAATTATTTTGAAGCATGCAACCACAGAGGATAAAACAGTCAAGTTTTGAATGAACTCACACTTAGTGAAATTTTTATCCAGGAAAAAAGTTAACTATTTTGATCCCAGTTTGTTTTGCCTGCTTTCATTTTCCTTTTGAAAATTATTTTGCCTCATTCTGTCGATTGAATGAACTAGACCTCAATATCACATTATTAATAAGGGTTTCATTGCTGTCATGCAAAGACGTTCTTCTGAAAATATGTGGTTTGGCAGAAATAAAAAATTAATTAAAAAAGGATACTTTAGATACTCCTTCAGGGTCTTGAACCACTTTTCCGAAGTCCCTTAGTTGGGAATTTTGTAGCCATGGTAAATAGATTTCATGATGCCCTGGAGAGAAGACTAATAAGCTGCAGCAATTCTCCTCTATAAAATGGTTTAAAAATCCCACTTTTCTAGATGACCATTCCGACATATGAAGTGGAAAGTGTGAAATATTACATATTAAAAACCACATTCATAAATATTCAATATATTTAATGATGTATTTTCTCTTGTAGATTTTCTTTTTTTCAGTAAAAAAAATCATTGATATTTTCATTCTGCCTCCTTAAAATATTGAAGATCATTTATCTAAAGAAAAAAAATCTGAAACTAATGAAATTCACTACCTGTTTTATCCTTTCTTACACATATTTGCATCACTACAGAGAAATTACCATTCAGAACTTACAAGGTTAGATTTTAGTTATCTTGAATATACGTGTCTTCATGGTGTTTTTAACTTGCAGAATGAGCTTTACATTGGTATGTGATACTTACTGTACATGTAAATTTATACTTTACCCACGACCAGCAGCTTTTTTCTCTGTTTCAAGAACAGAAGAGGTGTGTATTGGATCACCACACTCTCTTTTAAGAAGATGCAATTAATACTTCTCTCTCTCAAACAACAAATCTTCTGTCTGACAACTTTCTTTCTCTTGCATGCTTTCCAAGTCAGTGTTACTTGAAATAAGATTAAATTTACAATGAGTTTTGAGCAAGAGAAAATAACTCGGATTTATTTTTTTGGTACAATGAAAATACGTGCATATAGCAATCAATCACTAGATTAAAGAAAACCTGGTTGCAATTTTACATGATTAGAATTTTTAAAAAAAATCAAAGAAGGATAAACCACTGAATCTTGTCTCCAGACACCTTTTTCATGTCAAAAGAGAGAAAATAGTACATTTATAATAAGCTGTATAGTAAACGTGACAGTTCATACAAATAATTTCTATTAAGAGTTACAAATGAATAAAACATAATTGAGTTTTTGTTTTACAAACACATCTTCACACTATCACATATACAGCTAAAACATACTGAGTTTTTTTTTCACCTTTTGAGTAGGGTTGGGTTGGATCAGAACTAAAAAAAAACATGCGTTACAATAAAACATTGGGCATATCATGCAGCAGGTCAATCAAACAATGCTCGCACATCTGCATTAAAAACAGAAATGAAACACAAATGATAAATCATTATTAGTTGCTTAGATGCATTTCAAATAAGATACAATAGCCAAGGACAGAAGCTTCAATATATCACCTCTACTGTCTAGATATGCACACAAATACTACTTAACATTATATTCTTTCCTTTCTTTATCTTCACATTTACTGACATTGTGCAATATATCGATGTTCATATCAATAAAAAAGACGTTTTTATGAATATTTTCATTACACTTGTCTATCGAAATTCGCTAATCTATTTCTGAAGTACAACACAGGCTTTTAGATCGCTTTACTTGAAAAACAAATGCGGTATAAAAAAAGTAAAGGTGGTGAACTTTTTAGAAAGTGTACCAAATTTCGCCAATGAAATATTGATAAACAAAATTATCTAAAATTAACTTTGTTTTTATATCTATTCGTGCATAAACAAACCGAAATTCCATATATTTTCCTAGAATGTGAATATCAATTCCAAAATCGACCTACCGGGTAATTTTTTCTTTACTCGAAATTAGTTTTGACCTCTCGTCATCTATCGGTATACAGACGGCGTTTGAACTGCGGCGAACAATTGCATAATTTGTGCATAAACTATCAAAATCTATATCCCATTAAAATAGAAATTTTAAGTCTAAAATAATTCCTTTGGACTAAAAATAATATAAACGTCTGCTTTGACAGCCTGTACACCCATTTTGTTTTCTACTGTAAAAAGGATTTCGGATGGTTGAAATTTCCTGTATTTAAAAAAAAAAAAAAACTTTTAAGAGTTTAAAATTAAGCAACTAAAATGTTGTTGTTTACTTGATAAGACAAAGTGGTCATATCAGGTAGAATTGTTTAGAGACTAAATAAGCAGATGTTTAGAGAGTATCGAATAAATTCCGGGAAAAAGTTCGTCCCATCATGCATGAACCCTCCTCACAAATAGAGTGAATGAACAGAGGCCTAAGATAGTTTTGAGTAAGAGAAAGAGGTGAATATAACGAACAGTGATCGATCGGGAAAATAAAATCCATCAATAAATCCCTGAACAGGGCATAAAATATGGACACCCAGAATTCTAGAAGTGGGCTCAGGTGTCAATTATGGAATTGATTTCAGTATAGATTGGGAAGTGTGCGGAATTTCTGAATAAATGTTGGCAGTAATGTTAACTGTTTTTATGTAAATATATATGAAAGAAAAGTATAATTTCCAATCATGTTTAAGTAATAGGCGTAATTGTGTATCCTATCCAGTCTTTTCGCTTATACCCCATTGTCTGATGGATAAAAGCAATCAAAAGGCCTGTGAATATAGTTATGATTCTCCATCCCATCCCAT